ACTGAGTATCACCAGCCAGCAGTGACTGAAAGGACATTGATGTCAGTGACTACAAAAAAGTAATTACATTAAAACTCAGCCAACAGCTTTCAGTCAGCAAACTTGTAGGGGCAGCCCAGAAAAGATGCAGTGACCAGCCCCTCCTCCCCTCAAGAGAAGGTGCTGTAGGGAGTAACTTCTTCAGCAGGCAAACCTGGAGATACAGGAGGGTATATATGCATGGCCTTCAATCTCAGAATGAGGGAAGATTACTTATTTTGTACAAAACCAGTATGCAGAAGATGAATGACCAGGCCAAGGTCAGGTATAAAGATTGTGGAAACTGTGGGAGTAAGCGCTAGGAGAGTGTGTAATTCAGTTTTCATCATACCTGCCTTATGCTGTGTGAAGCACCAAGCTTTCAGAAATTGTTTAGCACATACCCTCGGGGGGGGGGAAAAAACAAACAAAACAAAAAAAAAAACACCCCAAACAAAACAACAAAACAACCAACAACAACATTCTGATCAACAAGGATGAGGATGTATCTTTAAAACACTAAGGAAATCACTTTCCTCACCTACCACTATCCTCTGAAATAGATGGAACTGAAGCACATTTAAAGAGCCAACAACTCTTCTGTTCCCTTGAGACTCTGGAGAATGTTTTGAGATGGAGGGAAATGACACCTCAAGTAGATGGGTGCCATGCTAGAGACTCACTGAGTCTTCAAGTAACTTACACTGTTCTGAGGCTCTCACTGCCTAGAATAAATTTGCTCTGGCACAATGCTTTTGGTCTGCATAGTCAGAAAAGGCTTTGGCTTTAAAGCAATATTCTTACATGAATCAAGCTGTTTTCTCCATTGATAAGAACAAAGAATGACCTTATGAGCTCAGTTTTAAAGTCTTTCTGGTGCTGCTTTGATATTTCCCATGGTGATAAACAGCACAATATTCTCAAGAGCTGCAAATCACAAAAGAGCCAAAATCTACCTACATGTATTATGTAGTCACTAAATCACATTTTCATGGCATGTGGGAAGTGACCAGGAGATAATAGCAGACAGACAGCTAAAGGAACTATAGTTCACTCATTCTGCTGAGGGGGAAAAAAACATGCTCCATGAATATAACTTAATAGGAAAGGAAATCTGTTCACAAAGATTATCTCAGCAGG